GGGGAGGGAGGGGAAAATGAGGAGCTGATGTCCTGGGCTTAAGTGGAAAGCAAATGTTTTGACGATGATGAGGGCAATGAATGTACAAATGTGTTTTACACAATTGATGTATGTATGGATTGTGATAAGAGTTGTATGAGTCCCTAATAAAATGATTTAAAAAAAGAATTACTACTCAAGACCATTCTCAAATATTTGCTTAAAAAACAAAAACAAAATAAGAATAATTACCTAAGATCATGGCACCAGAGGATGGGGAAAATGGGGAGCTAACAATGAGTACCAGAAGAAAATGTTTTGAAATGATTGTGGTGATGAATGCACAACTCTTCTTAACATGACTGAATGATTACATTGCACGATATGTGAAGTATATGCCAATAAAACCATTTTTAAAACCTTGTAACAGCAAAAACATGATTTGTTCCCTCCCTGAAGATTTTAACAAATTAATGAAAACTATCTAGCTTGTGCTTTGGAAGTGGATAAAGAGAATAGCTTTTTCATTTTTTTTCCATGGAAACTGATATATTAAAAATGTCTATTTGTGGGGGGGCCTTAGCATTTTATTAGAAATCCAACACTCAGCCATTTCAATCAAGTTTCTGAATCTGTTTGAACAGAATCAAGTAAAGTAGTTTATCAAAATGTTGTTGAAAATTTTCTGTATATTATAGCTATTTTCTCTTTTAAAATTTTCCCTTGATGTGTTTGTGTTTCTTATTTATTGAGTAAACTAATTACCTACCCTCTTTCTATCCTTCTCCTCTCCTCACTCCTTTAGTAAAAGTTCCTCTTTCCCCAAATGAAATAGCTATTTTGCAAATATTTGGTTCACATGCAAATTTATATTACCACATATAAATGTGTTCCTGGGTAGATAGAGATATATAATACAGCATCTAGAGATTTTATTAACTCTTCATCCACTTTGTAAAAGGGAAATGTTCATGTTAGCCCATATTAGATAATTATAAAATTGCTTTAAATAGAGATTTATTATCTTTATTGGAAGTACTCCACATTCTCACTTCTATTATCAAAACTGTATGCACTTTTAAAGGTTTGGATTTCTTTTATTTAAATTCTGAGTGATGATCCTATTTGCATGACTCATTACTTTCTGGAGGGCTGTCTGCATTTCTCTGTTTCTCAGACTATAAACAATGGGGTTAAGCAGAGGTGTCAGTACTGTGTATATCACAGCCATCAGCATATCTTCACGAAATGAGGCACCGTCCTTGGGCTTCAAGTAGACAGAACAAGCAAATCCATAGTGTATGCACACTACAGAGAGGTGGGAGGAGCAAGTTGAGAAGGCCTTATACCTTCTCTTTGCAGAGGGCATCTTCACAACCACAGACACAATGAAGACATAGGAAACCATAATCAGAATAAAGCTGCCCACCAGAACAAAGACAGAGAGCACAAAAATAACCATCTCATGGAAAAACGTGTAATCACAAGCAAGCAAGACCACAGGGGAGATGTCACAAAAAAAGTGCTGGATGGTTTTAGAGTCACAAAAAGACAAGTTGAATACTGTACAGACAATTGTGAGAGAAACCAGAATCCCAACTGAAAAAGAGGCCATTATCTGCTGAAAGCAAATCTTTCGGGTCATTAGAATGGGATAGTGCAGTGGGTTGTGGATGGCAATGTAACGATCATAAGACATGGCAGTTAAGATAAAACAATTATTGCTTGACAACCCGAAAAAGAAGAACATCTGTGCGGCACACTCAGGGAAAGAAATCATCTTGGTCCCTGATAGCAAGTCGGCCAGCATTCGGGGGATGATGACCATAGTGGTACAGGTTTCTGAAAAGGAAAGGCCACACAGGAAGAAGTACATGGGGGTATGAAGGTTGTGGCTGAGCTTGATGGCCACCATTATGAGCACGTTTGCAGCTAAGATGGTCACATGGGAGAGCAAAACCACCACAAAGAGGAGATGCTGTAGGTCTGGGAAACTGGAAAATCCCCACAGAAGAAATGTGTCCCCTGTCGAATGATTATTCATCCTCCTGGTGGGCTGAGGGCATTTCTCCTGTAATTTCAAGGTTGTTTGAGATCAAGATCTGAGATGATCATAAAATTCTCCTTCTGCATTTATACCACCTGGCCTAATACTGGTGGCTTCCAAGCCAAGGAAAGGTAGCTCAACATAAGATAGTTTAAGATATGGAACTAAGTGCACCAAACTAATGCCAGGGGCATGAGTCAAGTGATGAGAACAAAGTTCTAGTAGGAGAATCTGTATGCATTTCACAGAGTCATCACAAATATCTTCTTGGAGCCCAGTTCCATCAGTACCCCTTTCTTCCTCCCGCAGTCAGGACCTGCAGGAAAGAGAAAATGTGTGTTGGGATGGGGGAGTGCTCATGTCCTCATCTACACGACCATGCCCCTAATCTCTATCAAATGTTTATGTATGATCTAAAAGTAGCCAGGAATATAGAAGGCCTGAACAATTTTGACTGAATCTATAAAAACAATTTCTCCCCCAGCACAAAAAATTTTTTTTGGAAAAGTAAAGGAACGTTTTTGAAAGATTATTTTCTTTGAAATAAGTTTTATCTTCAGAGATGTTCCTCAGTACACCAGAGGATACATGGCTAAGAGTCTGCCTAAAAGTAGACCTGATAAAAGAAATTACCATATTAAAATTTATACAAGTTTCCTAACCATGGTGATATTAATGAAATTAAGATTTGAACTGTCTAACAATGGTCTCCCAATCAGGTGTACTTTGGAGTTAAAATAGTTATGGGAATGCTACTTCAGTTCAGAATGGCATATATTTGTCATGAAGGCCTGATCAGTTCTTGTGTTTTCAGCAAAATATCTCAGGTATATTCTAACATACATTCTGGTCAAAAAGGGCAGCCCTGATAAAACTTAACAGCGCTCCAAAGTTATTGTTTCAAGTTATATTTTATTTTCACCCTTTCTATCAACTCTGTGTGTAAAAAGATAGCATGAAAATGATTGAGGATTATCCCTGCCATTTGAGTTTCAGCTCATGCACTTTTGTACGCCACAGGAAAGTAAGATAGTAAGTAGCTTAATAGAGGGAGAAAGCAGAGATAGAAACGTTGGGAAATATTCTATAGGGTCCACAGAGTTAGGAGAAAAAAGAAAGAGGTATGCCTTTCATTGATGAGTTTCTTGATGCATGAAATTCCTGAGCCCAGAATAAAGTAGGAGGCAATTATGGTAAGTGATATTTTCTCAACCTTTGAAATGTGCTGGACCATATGCCAGATGTTTGGTAGAATTATCTCATTTAACTCTCCAATAACTCTGTGAAGTAAGTATTTTCCTCCTTAAGTTAGAAAATATTAAAAGCATAGAATAGGTAACTGATTACCCACAGCCAAAGTATTACTAAGCAAATATTGACAGTGCCTATTATGTGTCTAGCAATTTTAAGCTTGGGAAATGGAGGCGGGTGTATATGATTGATCTTTTTTATCTCAGGTAGAGAAAAATGTCATAAAGAAAAAAACTTTAAGATATGTGAAAGTGGGTGCTTGGGTTCTACTTTGGAGTACATAGTAGGAAAGTCCTATCTGTAGAAATGGCAGCCAGCTGCAGTTAAAATTCCAGTAAGCAGCTAATTCTGTAAAGATCAAAGAAAAAAAGCATTCGATCAGGTGGTAGCATCTCATACACAAACCCTTAGAATGAACAAGCTTGACATGTTCAAGTAATAGCAAGTTAGCCAGTATAGCCAGAATACCATTCATGTAGCCTCTTCAATAACTTTTCTGATATTGTATTTTTCCCATGTGTGAGAAAAGAATGGCTTAGAGAGTTATTTGATTTGCCAAAGTGGTAAAGTTGGTAGTAAAAGTTTTTATTCACAGCCAGGAAGAGTGACTTTGGAAACTACCTTCTTGACAGTTAGATAAATCTCTAGTTCTGCCTTGAAGGGGGCAGTGTGGCATTCAGGTCTTACCATCTACTGCTCACTTCCTTGTATGTGAACATCCCAGTGCTGCCGGCATGACAGGATCTTTGAGACTCTTATTTGCACACTTTGGTTTCTCTGTTCTTCTGTTTCATCAAGTGCCATTTTATTTCAAACACAAAACAGATTTCTTCTTCTCAAGGCTTCTTAGAAAACCTTCTCTAGCCAATCTGATAAATTTCATTACTTTTTAGTCTGCGTTCACATGTGATTGTATTATGGTGACATTTTTAAATGTTTGTCTCCTATATCATAAAAGCAAAGGCTTACTAAAGCAACTTTTGTCCCTAAATTGCAGCCTAAGATATGTCTGCATCATGCTATTTCCATGAATAAGTGGAGTGCCATTTTCCATGAACCATCATACATTCCATGAACACATATATTATGTTCACTGACTAATTATTCCCATTTCTACTGCTTCTCTTGTGTTTATTTTATTTGGTCTTTTGATAAAGGTAGTTTGCTTCCTCCCTCAGTATATTTGAAGACCTATGAAGATATAGTCATGTCACCTAGCAATATAATATTTGCAATTCAGTGTTTAAACCTTTCCTGAGTAATTGAATAAATCATGGTACCCCTTCCCAAAATGAAAAATCCATCAAAATTCTAGAAGTGGTTGGTATAAATAAAGCATAGCAGAAAATAATTATTTAATAATTGTAGACATTATACCTTGATTTTCACAACCAATCTGTCAGATTGGCATGTTGAGTTGGCTTATGTGTTATTGTGATGCTAGAAACCACTGATACATATTTCAAATTCAAGAAGGATCATTCATGCTGAAAAGGTTTCATTAGATCTTACAGACTAAGACAGACTGGAAAAAGACAGACATCTACTTCCAAAATTTTAGGAGGTATAAATTTCATGAATAGCAACAAAACATTGCTGTAGAGGTCAGTACAAAGAGGAAGATGCCCAACAAGATAAAGTGACACATGTACTGAGCAGTGGGTTCAAGTGTTTTTGTTGTTGTTCTGTTGTACATAGGGTCACTATGAGGCAGAACTGATTTGATAGCACCTAACAACAAGATAGCTTGATTTACCGAGGTATCCAGACATACTGACATACTCATCATCTATCATGAGGCCTAGTGGAATTTCCTAGGAAGCCTTCACATTCAAACTCTTATCTCTGGACAGTCTTTCCAATAGTGGATAATTAAGTTTCAAAATAATGTGACAATGGTAAGTTTGAAAGTCTCACTGTGATTATTCTACTTTTTGTTTGAATAAATTCATTGTGTATCCTAATACCTAAAGGAAATACTGATTGAGAAAATGTCAATATGTTGGGTCTCTACTCAAGTACTCCCTCAATGCAAGAATACTTTATTCTATTAAACTGGAATTCCATGATGCTCACCTTCCCGACACACTTGCTGAAGACAAAGTGAAAATGTGGTGAAGAAAGTTGATGGTGCCCGGCTATCAAAAGCTATAGCGTCTGGGGTCTTAAAGGCTTGAAAGTAAACAAGGAGCTATCTAGCTCAGAAGCAACAAAGCCCACATGGAAAAAGAACACGAGCTTGTGTGATCACAAGGTGTCAAAGGGATTAGGTATCAGGCATCATCAGAACAAAAAATCATATCATTGTGAATAAGGGGGAGTGCGGAGTGAAGACCCAAAGCCTAGCTGTAGGCAATTGGACATCCCCTTACGGAAGGGTCGCAGGGAGGAGACGAGTCAGTCAGGATACAGTGCAGCAATGATGAAACATACAACTTTCCTCTAGTTCCTAAATGCTTCCCCCATCCTTCCACTATCATGATCCCAATTCCACCTTACAAATCTGGCTAGACCAGAGGATGCACACCGGTACAGATAGTAACTGGAAACACAGGGAATCCAAGAAGAATGATCCCTCCAGAACCAGTGGTGAGAGTGGCGATACCGGGAGGGTGGAGGGAGGGTGGGGTGGAAAGGGGGAACCGATTACAAGGATCTACATATACCCTCCTCCTTGGGGGATGGACAACAGAAAAGTGGGTGAAGGGAGACGCCGGACACTGTAAGATTTGACAAAATAATAATTTATAAATTATCAAGGGTTCATGAGGGAGGAGGGAGCGGGGAGAGAGGGGAAAAATGAGGAGCTGATGCCAGGGGCTTAAGTGGAGAGCAAACGTTTTGAGAATGATGAGGGCAATGAATGTACAAATGTGCTTTACACAATTGATGCATGTATGGATTGTGATAAGAGTTGTATGAGCCCCTAATAAAATGATTTTTAAAAAGAAATAAAAATATATATTAAATGCAAAAAAGAGAGAATGTCAATATGACATTATTCACTTATAGCAGAAATTGAAGATGATTTCTGGCTAGCATTTTGTAATAAGCTTACCCTTCTTGATTTATACCACTAATGTAAACTAAAAGGAGCATAACTGCTTCTTATCCCTGAAACCTCTGTCCCAGGTTTGTCAAGTAGCTGCACACGCCCTAGCAGAGAGCTGTTGTTTTCAGAATGCCTTCCCCTCCCGCCTCTTTTTCTAGATAGCAAGACTTACAGGAATTTTGGACTGCTTTTCAATTTTGGACTATGCAGACCCTCTTGTCTCATCTTATCAAAGCTCTTGCCAGTGGCCACTGGCCTGCTTCCTTTGTACATAAAACTCGTGGCTAAACTGGGGAGTGCTGGTCTATGATGTCACTTGTCCCTCCTCTCTGGAACGAATGGAAGGTTCCCCCCTCACATGGTAAGTAACTTTGATTCCTCCTTTTCCACTGCCATCAAGTCAATCCCAGCCAATAGTGACCCTCTATAACAGTGGTTCTCAATCCTCCTAATGCCACAACCCTTTAATACAGTTCCTTATGTTGTGGTGACCCAAACCATAAAATTATTTTCGTTGCTACTTCATCACTGTCATTTTGCTACTGTTACGAATCGGGTGATTTGTGTGAAAGGGTTGTTCAACCCCAAAGGGGTTGCGACCCACAGGTTGAGAACTGCTGCTCTATAGTCACTCAGTCTGTAAACCATTATGAAGTAGAAAGTCTCATTTTTCTTCCCAGGAGAGGCTGGTGGC